TTTTTCTTATATAGAGCATTAACAATCTAAAGAAAAGATGTGGCATTTTATTTAAAATATAGTTTAAAGATGTAACTTATTCACTTATGACAAATATACAATATGTGTTTTTCTATTAAAACTTTCAGAAACAATACCATATTAGATAACTGACACTTTGCTTAACTCAAATTAGTGAACAACATTGATTGAATAAGCTTTATTGCCATTATACCAAATACAATGAAAGGTCATTTGACATATTTTTAGTAATGTCAATACCAGATATAATTAAAATATTAACCCTTTATAGGGGAAAATAGCATTTTTGCTCACTTGCATACCCCTTACAAATGGAGTCCAGCGCCCCCCACGTCCCTTAGGGAGGTCTAGAAGCACAAGATCTATATCCAGCCATTCAGCAAAGATGCTGCTACATGGATGTGCATCTTATTGTGGCATTTGAGCATTTAGATGAGCCCTTGAATGATATATTACCTACTGTAAATTCAGTAAAAAAAAAAAAGTTAACAAGTCAAGAAAAAAAAAGGTAAAAATCCAATTGAAATTTTAAAAAGTTAATAAAGCTAGTAAACAATTATATTTGTTTACTAGTAGCATCAGCATTAATGCCTCCAAGGCAGGGATCTTCAACGTTTTCCAGGCCAAGGACCCCCAAATTGATGAGAGATGGTGTGGGGACCCCCTAATTATATATATTGTATGAAATTGTGTTATGGTATTATGGTCAAAGCGGTCCTATAGTCACTCTATTACAGATGGAGTAATGTAACGAATGTAATTTCGCCCTGGGATTATTAAAGTATTTCAGATTCTGATTCCTGGTTGATGGTACAGGCGTTGTGAATGAAACGGTGCCCAGCTTGAAAGAGCTCCTGTGTGTCGTTGAATGTGTGCATTGATGACTGAAAGACATCTTCTGCCTCCTTTTATCTGTTTACTACAGTGTGTTATCTGTTTACTTTACTGTTTACTGTGTGTTGAATTCCTGTTAATGTGCATTTAAAGACATTTCAATTAGTGGACCCCTGTTGAAGACCTCCAATCTAAGGTTATGTTGTACCAAAAAAAAATGTGTATCTTTTACTCTGAGTGTTTTTATAATGACTTTCTTATAGATGCACTTCTGTTATTTTTCTTAATATATTCGGGCAAGTTGGCGTTTCTTGTTAATACATTGACTTACATTTTTCCCATTAAAATAATCCATATTTTTTGAAAATTACAAAGGTGATAAGGTATTTTTCTGGATTACAGTAACACTACTGGCTTGAAACTGATTTTCAAAGTATTTCACTGAGTGCCCTATAAAGGGTTAATATATTGTCATTATTAATATTTGCAGTAGCCTATGGAGTGTTTGATTTCCCACAGCAGTTGAACCCACAAGAGATGGGTGATAACTGGATAGTTTGTGTTTAAAAACTGTTAACCAGCAAAGTCTTCCCACAAATTGCTTTTAGCATACAAAGCAGAAACGCCATGTTTCAAAATAACAACCAACATCAATCAAACAAGCGTTTACAGATGATGA